CTTCCTCTGGCTTTTGGAAGAACCTGGGCGACTACCCTGGCTTCTTTGGCTGCCAGAAGTGCTGGGTCGACTCCGAAGCCTGTCGCTGGAATCCTTGCGATTTTCCGAGAGGCTTCTGTGGCTCTTGGAAGATCCTGGGCGACTTTCCGAGCTCTTGTTGGAATGTCTTCGGCTTTCTGTAGAGCTTCTTCGACTCTTCGAAGTACCTGGCCGGCTTTCCTTGCTGTCTCTAGAAACCGTTTGGCTTCCAGCGAGGCTTCCTCGGCTCTTGGATGATTCAGGATAATTTTCTTGGCTGTTCTTTGAATTTTGACGACTTCCTGCAAGGCTTCTCTGACTCTTGGAGGTGCCTGGTCGGCTTTCCAAACTTGCTCTGGAATTTCTACGGCTTTCTGCAAGACCTTGACCCTCTACACTGTTACTTGAATTCTTGCGACTTTCTGATAGGCTCTTGCTAGTTCTTGCAGAGTCTGGACGATTTCCTTGACTGCTGTTTGAATTCTGACGACTCCCTGCGAGACTTTTGTGACTTCTAGAAGAGCCTGGGCGATTTTCTTGACTGTTACTCGAATCCTGACGACTTTCAGCAAGATTTCCGTGACTTTCTGAAGGTTCTGTATGATCTTCTATGCTGTTACTGGAATCTTGGAAGCTCTCTGCAAGATTTCTGTGACTCCTGGAAGAGTCTGGGCGGTTTTCTTGGTCGTTGCCCGAATTCTGACGGCTTCCTGCTGAGCTTCTCTGACTTTTTGACGTTCCTGGTCGACTTTCGAAGCTGCCTTTGGAATTTTTACGACTTTCTGGAAGGCTTCTGTGACTCCTGGAAGATTCTGGACGATTTTCCTGACTGTTGCTGGAATTCTGGCGACTCTGCACAAAACTTCTATGACTTCTAGAGGATTCTGGGCGGTTTTCTAGACTGTCATTAGAATTTTGGCGACTTCCCCCAGGACTACCACGGCTTTTAGGAGATTCTGGACGAACTTCTTGGCTGTTGCTACAATCCTGGCGACTTTCAGCAATGCTTTTTGGGCTCCTAGAAGTTCCAGATTGACTCTCTAGGCTGCTTCTGGAATTTTTGCGACTTTCAGAGAGATTCCGCTGACTCCTGGAAGATTCTGGGCGATTTTCTTGGCTGTTGCTGGAATTCTGGCGACTTTGTGCGTTACTTCTAAGGCTTCTGGAAGATTCTGGACGGTTTTCTGAATTCTGGCGGCTTTCTGCGAGACTCCTATGGCTCCTGGAAGTCCCTGGTCGACTTTCTAAACTACCCCTGGAATCTTTGCGGCTCTCTGCAAGGCTTTCGTGACTTTTGGAAGATTCTGGGCGATTCCCTTGACTGCTGTTGGAATTCTGGCGACTTTCAGCAAGGCTTTTCTGACTCTTGGAAGTCCCAGGTCGACTTTCCAAACTGCTCTTAGAATTTTTGCGACTTTCGACGGAGCTTAGATGACACCTGGGAGACCCCTGTTGACTCCGATCACTGCTTCCTTCAAACGGATCTTCTACTTCGTCACTTATTTGATAATCCAAACTTGTAGATAAATACACGGATTGCCTGCGGCTGCGACTCGATCGGCGACTGGAGTCTATCTTCTCTTCCATACTACTTGACTTCCTGCTGTAACCTCGACTCCCAGAGGATAAGCGCTGTCGGCGGCTGGAGGTGCTCTCGCGGCCACTCGACTGCCTTCTGCTGCTCGCCGGGGAGATTTGCTGCGACCGGGATCCGCTGCGAGGCTCTGGCGGGCCGACTGTCACCCCGAGGGCAGCTGCGACCTCCACATCGGAAGGGCCATTGCAGGAATCTGGAGAATCCTGTCGTAGGAATCTGCGGTCTTTCCTCATCGATCTCACGTGAAGACTGTAGTTGCTTCCTGTTTCAATGTCGGAGGTGGAGCTGGTGCTGCTCGTTTTGCTGGCGTCCTCTTCCGAGTCGTGCTCCTCCTCGCCTCTGATGTCCTCTTCATCGTCTTCTGGACTCGATTCTTGACCCTTGCTCACGACGGTGTCCTGGCTGCTGCTGCTACTCTTACTTCTCTCGTCGCCAGAACTACTTTTGCTCCTACTCCTGCTCCTGCTGTCGTCGCTACTTCTGCTGCCACTCCCCTTGCTGTCGTCACTTCTACTGCTCCTTCTAGAACTGCTTTGGCTGCTTCTTCTGCTGCTGCTTCTGCTACTCCTGCTCCCGCTTCTTCTACTGCTTCTGCTACTGCCGCCTGTGCTGCTAGCGCTACTGCTACTCTTACTGCTGCCACTGCTAGTGCTAGCCTCGTCAAATGTTCCAGCTTCACTACCTAGACCCAAAAAATAAGAACAATAAAAGAATAGATCAGAAGGCCACCACACTCAGATTTCTACCCGATCCAAAACACGCATTAAGATCTATAAGATTCCTATTAGTATATATATCCCATAGATACCTTTGCTACCCTGAACGTGAGATTGCAATTGGGTTTCAATTCATATTTATGAATTTGAAACCTAACTGCAATCTCACGTTCAGTCGCTACCCATTTATAATATCAAATATTCGGGAAACCCAAGACCCAACTCACCCGTCTCTCCCGGCGGAGTGTACGGTCGTGGTGAGGACTCCTTCGCCCTCGCCTGCCTCGTCCGTCGGCGGCTTTGGTGACGCTTTTCGACCGCTCGTAACTGGCAGCTGGAATGAGGGATGGCAATGCTGTTAGAAAGGCAAGGAATGAGGGATGATGCTGTTAAAAGGCAAGGAATGAGGGATGGTGATGCTGTTAGAAAGGCAAGGAATGAGGGATGGCAATGCTGTTAAAAGGCAAGGATTGAGGAATAGTGATGCTATAGGGTAGGCAAAGTGATTAAAACTTGAAGGTAATTAGGGACACAGTTATTTTTACCGTCTGATGTATTTTATCTATATATTTCTTTCGGACCTTATAGTATCGTGACATTTTGCTTCCATTATTATTTCTTTATTATTGGAAAGAAATATTTCATAATCCTTCAAGAATCGGGTTTTCTAATACGATTTCAGTTTCTAATTTTGTCTAAATATTACCGGAACATAAGCTTTAATCTTTGGATTATTTCTGCAGTTCAGTGACCATGATGATTAATTTTGCTATATAAGTGGATATGAATATTTGCGGTTAGATAATTGACATTTTAGAACTAGGGTTATCAAAAGCCTATTTGACGAGATACAAAGCAATCATTCCGAAGTGAAAATACAATTAGTGATAAATGCTATTAAATCCCGCTAAGGAGCCGTTATAAAGAGAATCTAAACACTGAATACACACCGTGGATTAAACCGATTCAAATACATAATAGTACAATAAACAAATCAGTTGGGAAAGCTATCTAAGCACAGTCATTAAGTCTATTTGTATTTTTCATGGTATCTGATCGTAAATTGGCTCAAATCAGCTTATTTATCATTGATTAATTATTTTTCATATGGATAATATATTGTTCCCTTATGATTGCGAGCGTTTTTTTTATCTAATTATTTTCCACTGTGATTCTTAGTAAATTATGACAAATGTAATTCTTAGTAATATCATGGAAAATATAATTCTTAATAAAATAAAGGAAATGTAATTCTTAGTAATATCATGGAAAATATAATTCTTAATAAAATAGAGGGAAAAGTATTTTTTAATAATAAGGAAAATGTTATTCTTAGTAATATCATGGCAAATATAATCATTAGCAATATGGAAAATAAGACTCTCAGTAAAATCATGAAAAATATAACAAACGTGTTAAAGATCAGTTTAGCATGAAACAAAGATTAGCATCATAAGCAAAAACAAATTTTCCTTCGCCTCTTTTTCCTACATCTAGAGAAGGTAGATCTTGGCAATCTGTTCCGCGGAAATTTGCATGTTATGAGATATCGAGATATTATACTCAATAAGGCTAGGATAAGAGGCAAGAAAATACGATATAAATATTCGAAGTTCGTATTTCTGAGTCTGGTTTCTGTAACGGATTGATATATTATAAACTGGGAAGGGAGTATACGTTTAGTGTGCGGATATTCTATATATGGCATCGTTCATACAGGAATGAAATGATTGATATATGTCAGTGTTTGGGTTTGCTTGCTCCGATAGTCTTCACTTTGTTTCTTCAGCATACAGTTTTTTTTTTTTTTTTTTTTTTTTTTTTTTTTTTTTTTTACAATTCCCAGAAGCACAATGGAGCTAGATAGATAAATAAGTAGATAAGGTAGGTATAGTAGGTAGACAGACAGATAGATAGATAGATAGATAGATAGATAGATTAGATAGATAGATAGATAGATAGATAGATAGATAGACAGACAGACAGACAGACAGATAGATATATATGATATATATATATATATAGAGAAGAGAGAGAGAGAGAGAGAGAGAGAGAGAGAGAGAGAGAGAGAGAGAGAGAGAGAGAGAGAGAGAGAGAGAGAGAGAGAGAAGAGAGAGAAAGAGGAGAGACATAAACAACCAAATCAAAAGACCAAGTTAATATTACGGTATATAACCAAACATAGACAAACAAACAAAAACAGAAGAGAAATAAGAACAAGTGCAAAGTAAAAAAAAAAAAAAAAGAAAAAAAAGAAAAGAAAAGAAAAGAAAAATAACAGTGATAGAAAAGAGAGATAAAAAAAACACCGTAGACAGGGTTCTCCGCCGTCGATTTCGATCACTCTCAGATGACCCGAAGGCCCCCCGAGTCTACTGCCGGGGACGTAGCGGTGTTCGCAACAGGCGCTGAGTCTTCCCGTAGTTACCCCGTCTTCGTAGATCGTCAAAGAAAACGGGAAACTGGGCCGTCGCATGGAACTGAATTCGATTTCGTCTGAAGAGGAAGATGAAGATCGGTGATAGAAATAAATAACAATTATATTATTTTCTAATCATGTTATTAATGGTGATATTCGTACTTAAAATGATAATAATGATACTAGTTTTGTAAATACAACAATAAGGATTAATCAAGGAAAGTTCATTTCACAGTATATCTTTAAAAAG